GAGAACGGAGGTAGTATTAAACTATATTGACTAACAAAATTTAAAATGAATTTGGATTTAGATAGATAATAAAAATGAACATAATACCAATTAGGAGTACAAAATAATAATTGGAAGATCATATCTTACCTACGTGATTGGGAAGTATAATAATATAACATTGATATTTAATTATTATTATTATTATTATTATTATTATTATTATTATTATAGATTAATTATGTAATTAACTAATTAAATTAAGACTTAGTAAAAACTTTCACGTTAACACAGTATAAGAACACTTAAGCAACGGCTTTCACCAACTAGCTGGTGTAGCATGTTGGGCAGTAGCTTCGAATGGTAGTGGTAGGCGCGAGTTTGAATCCTACTTACTACTATTCCTTCTAGTTTTGCTCAAATCCCGGGTTGGGACGGTTTGATGGTCAACCGAACTGGCGAGGAGTCCGGGTTGGCGGGTTCCGGGCTGAACCGGCCGGTCCGGGTCGGTTCTTACAGCACAGCTAAATACCACTACCACGCCACATGTGGTGGACAAAAATGGAAGTTCAAGTGCCACATCACATCTATTTAATATAAATATAAAGTTACCCTATTTTTCCTGTAGATAGAATCCTCTCAAGAAGCATCCTAGCTAGAAGCACTAAACTTCTTGTCTATTTAGTAAGGACCATTCTTGGTGTACACAAGATGTACACAAAATGTGTACATTGTCTGTGTGCACAGACAAATTGACATCAAGTCATGTCTCTTTTTAAACGAATTGCCTGTGTACAGAAGCAACTAGGGGGTTTTGTGTATAACTTGTGTACACTAAGAATTTTCCATTTAGTAATCCTCTTCACACATAAAAACACCTGATGTACGCACGGGCCGATGATTGGACATTTGAGCCTGATCTAATCCTTCTGCGTCAAGCTCAAAAGTGATTGGTCAATGATGTGTTTGGCATTCAACGGTTAGGCGGGTTAGCGGATAACGAATTATGTTAGAGGATTGTAAATAGCAAATTCAATCAGCGGGTTTGACTAGCGGAGTAAAATGGCGGGTTGTCAGAAGATGTTTGATAATTTAGCTGTTTGGCCATGAAATTAGTAGAAAACATCAATTTTCAAAACGCCAACCCAAAATTTTTCTATTAGCAGTGTTTCCATTTCAGCTATTTACCAAACATCTTTTTCACTTATTGAAAATGCTAAAAGTGGTCTAACCGCCATTTTTCGGCTGAAACACCATTTACCAAACAGTCCCAATACCTCGCGATTCTGAGTAAGAAGTTGACTCTGAACTTTATCGTTTGAAGTGAGACCAAACACGGATTGTGTGACTACTTGAACTACCAAACATTGATTACGTGAAAACTCTCACTAACTCGGGGATTAGAGAATCTTCATTTGAGACAGAACTCTCAAATTCTTCTTCTTGATGATAGGCATGGTCTGGTCCGGTTCCGGGCCGGTTCTGGTATGTCTCAGACAGGCCAGTCCTAGAGTTGGCTATCCTAGAATCTAGACTGCTACCGGGTATACTGGTCCCGATCTTGATTTTTTTATTTTTTATTTTATGTTTTGAAACCCACCCAACCCCTCCCTATTATGTGTTAATTATGAATGAATTTATACTTCTTTTAAAATGGTTATAAGCATTTGAAATACAAAAATGGGACCTAACGGAAATTGGAAGTAGCAGGTCTAGTCCGGTCTCGACAACCGAACGATTCTTGTACGGATCATCCCGAATCATGGACCGGATTCAACCCTACTTGATGACTTGAACTCAAAACCTTGGCGGAAGATATCAGATATGTAATTCTATCCTAATATATTAGTCTGACTTTGATATTTACCTAAGGTTACGTTCCATCATACATATAATCAATATGGGACAATATCTTCAACCCTCACAACTAGACAGCTTGTTTAGATCGTGCCAATTGCTAACTTTTTTCTCATCAGTGTCTATTCTTCAATCACTTGTATTTCATGGCTACAGATTTGGTGACTGTGATACCATATTACCATGTTAGTTGAACTTGAATAACTCTATGTATGATACACAGTGTCCTTTCATTTTTACTTCTAGCTCTGATGGAAAAAATTATTCCGTATATTGCAAGAATAAACGGAATTTGGATATATGATAAATATTTGATACATAAGCATTTGATATTAAAAGAAAATTAAGTTGACCGCTTTATTTCGGAACAAATGAAGTAATAATTAAAATACCGTACGTACCTTTCAAAAAAAATGAAAAAATCATTATATTTGCCCCCAATATATATTTTTAAATTATCATTCTTTTATGAGTAAATATAGTAATAGCAAAGTTGTGGATTGAAAAAGCTAAAAGTCAAGATATTGCAACTAAAACAATGATGAAGTGTATATTTTTATAAAAATTAAACCAATAAATAATACGTACGGAGTAAAATATACTCCCTCCGTCCCTGAATGTTGTTCCAATTGCGGATTACGAAGGTTGACCGACGATAAAGTTAAATGATCCCCGTGAAAACTCGGATTATTTTTAGTAAATAAAATTTACATATTCAGAAACTACATTAAACCTGCTACAAAGCCTGCAAAAAAAATCAATTTTCATAAAGTTTTGATACAAAAAGTAAGAGTTTAAGAGTGGTTTAAGTTGACTCTCGAAAAGCGAAATGGAAGTAAATTTAGGGACAGATGGAGTAATATATATCATAATTACTCATTGTTTGTTTTCACAAACATTATATTTATTGAACATATTCCTTTTGTATGGCTCAAAAGGTAGTAATGACTAAATACAGTGATACAAATTATTTCACTGGAACCTATAATGAAGTATTTAAAGTATACGTAGTATTAATGAAGAGTAAGAAGTTATAGCTAACAGTTAGAGGATTTTATAATTTTGCTACAAATATTTATATGGCTAATCAAACTTTAGGGACAACCAAGTTTGACGATTTCATCACTAATTAGTTGTCCTAGACTCTTCTTTTACTAAAGTATTTCATGTAAATAAGTAGTGGTAAGTGGACCCTAATGCCATGCTATTATTTTAGGGAAAATTGGAAACTAATAATCCAACCTTTTAGCGGTTTTCTTACAATAATCCAACATTTTGGTTATTTATGAATAATCCAACCTTTGCACCTCGTCTTCATTCACTGGTCCCTGATCGGTTGATGACCTGCTATTCCAAGCTATTTTCTTATCTTTGCAAAATATTATTTTTGTGAAAGATGAAATTTATGGTATAATGATTTGCAAAGATAAGAAAATAGCTTGGAATAGCAGGTCATCAACCGGTCAAGGACCAGTGAATGAAGATGTGGTGCAAAGGTTGGATTATTCATGAATAATCAAAAGGTGAGATTATTAAAAGAAGACCACTAAAAGGTTGGATTATTAGTTTCCATTTTCCCTTATTTTAGGAAGCACATATTTCCTTGTCTATTTATTTTCTAGACAATGAATGGAAGGGGCACTCGGCAATTCACCAACTCTTATCCTAGTCTGAGAATTCTCTTCTTTCTTTTTACGGAGTAATTCTTTGTGGAGGTTTCCACTCTCATATAGTGGAAAACTGGAACGTTGATCCTACATGTAACGCATTATGCTCTTAATCCAATTTAAAGATAACTACTTATTATATTTCACAATACATTTGTTTCCACAAGAAAAAGTAAAATAAAAAAAATGATCAAAATAAGATATTGTTACAAAGTACGGAGTAATATGAGAGTAACCAGAATATAAACACCCAGGGACCAGGGTAACCTGATTGTGATGCTAAATTGAGTGTTTTTGTTATGTATTTTCTAGATATTAGAATGTAATTGCTAGTAGTACATTTTCTTTAAAACGTACATACTTTCCGGTCTCGGATTTGGATTGTCTTTCTTACTTTTAGAGTCACATAGAGTGCGTGGCTATTACGGCCACATGATCCAACTTTGGGATCCCAGAGCTCTCCTCCGTGCGTTACTGTTACTGTTGAATTACACAAGGCACCTCTATTGTGCGGTTGAGGATCCAAGTCTCTACGTCTCTATTTACGGTCACTACATAAGGTATTGACCTCAAGTAACATGTTTTATACCGTATCGAAATAAAACATTTGCGAAAATATTTATAAAAAAAGTATTTCTAGAAGGTAAAGAAAAAATTGATTTTCTTAAATTTCTTAAAGATGAATCTGGAAGCTTTTTTAAGAGATAGGGGTGTATAAGAGTTTTTGTGTGTGGTATGGATATATTCTCCTCAGCGAGATATTCTTTGTAGTGAATTAAAACGATTTGTTTACTACTCCAATTAATCTTTTCCGTGAGGATGTTATGTCCACATCCAAATCTCTTGATTTGATAAAATTCCTAACTTTTTTAGTTCCCATACGTAGTATTATCTAGGGAGATCTACCAAATAAGTCCTTGAACTTACATAAAAAGTGCAAATCACCCCTTTTATAGGAGGCTCTGTCCGGCCGTCGCCATTTGGAGAGGTTACCAGTGGAATTTTTTATGACATTTTGTGAAAATCTTATTCATTAAGTCTAGTTTACTCATACCAAATTTCAGATAAAAATTCAATCGGGAAGGCAGTCAAATGAATTTTTGAAGATAACTGCGCAGTTAAACAACGCCATTAGAAAATCATTTGACTGCCTTCTCGATTGAATGTTTAGCTTAAATTTGGTATGGGTAACAAGACTTAATGAAGAAGATTCTAAAAAAAAATCATAAAAAAATTCCACCAGAAACCTCTCCAAAATCCAAATGGCGACAACCAAACAGAACCTCCTATAAAAGGGGTGATTTGCATTTTTATGTAAGTTCGAGGGCTTATTTGATAGTTCTCCCTATTATCTAAAATCTGATTCTTTAATCATAGTATTGCTGTTGAGATTAACACATACCATTTCCCCTCTTTTGAGATAAAATTAAAGTGCTCAACTCGTTAATGAATACTCAAAGTTCTGAAGAGGACTTAACCAGTGAAGAGTCCATTATTAAACTATTAAAGTATAGATAATTAGGCTTCAATTCATATTTACAGACATCTTATTGGCATCTCAAACTGAGAAAAAGAGGCATATAGAAGATGCACAACCATTTTTGCTCAATCAACATATATTCAGGTTGAGACAATATTGTACAAAGCGTAATGGAGAAATAACAAAAAACTAATGAGCCAAAGTAAAATAAGAAACTTGTTTCGGTATACAATTGCTTCAGAAGTAACCTTCTCACCGTTTGTGTGTGTATATATATATATATATCTATATCATTTCACAAAATCGAGAACAAGAACACCAAGTGGTCCTGAATCCTGATACCACCATGATTTCCAGCTAGTAGTTATACATGAAAACAAAAACAAAAAAGTATTATGACTAAGGAAGGGTTCTTTAATGAGAACCCATTTTAGCAGATTCTCTCTTCCCTGCAGAGAGATGCTGTTTTCAACAGATTGATAGTTTAGCTGCATTTGGATTGTTTGGAGTGTGCCATCATATTTCTCAAACTCCACAGCCCAGTCCTCTTGCTTCTTGCCCTTTCATTATTCTTAGCCTTTTGCATGATGACAAGAACATTCTGCAATAGCCATAACAAAACTGAATTAGTACACATTTTTATTTTATTTCTGGGTTTATGGAATTAGTATACATGAAGTCTAAGGGCTTGTTTGGTTCAGAGATTTCGAAGAGAAGGGGATGATTAAATTTTATTCAACTAATTTATCCCTATTTAAAAAGTTTTTTATTTTTTACCCCATTTACATTTTTACCAGCTTCTACCTTACTTATTTATTACGATTTCATATTCTTTGTCATTATATTTTATACCCTTTTTACTTTTCTTCTAAATAAAAAGTATAAATATTACCCTGCCTTTTCCCCCTTTCTAAAATTGTGAATCCAAACAAGCCCTAAGAGTTCTGTGATTTGGTAGGAATGTTGTTGAGGTTGATGAGAGAACTTACTCCCAAGGGACATCTCCAACAAGCATCAGATCACCATCTTTGTCTTCATAAGCAGGGGCATATTCTGATCCTTTGTAGCCTTCTCTCTCAGAGTAGTCACCTATGGTGAGTGTGAACATGTTCTCCAGACCTCTTAACAATTGTGGATAGCTTTCATACATTTTCAGGTCAATTTTCCTGAGGTAAGGGGCTCCATCCATGCTGACTTTAACATACATTGCACTATCACAGCCCTCATCTCCATTCTTTGGCTGCTGCCCACTGTTCTTCCTGTAAGCTCTCACTGGTGGCCACCCAATTATCTGAGCCCTGCATATATTTATATAGTTTAATTAATCTGATATCTCAAATTTTTCATTTTTCCAAAGCATGGTCTATTCAAGAATTGAGGTTCCAGCTTAAAAATTAAGTTCAAGTCCTAACATGATATCAAATCCCAATATTGATATTTTTCAATATCAATATCAGATTACAGACCTTGTTATAGAAGATAAGACAAATTTAAAAAAAAAACAATTTTTTACAAGACTTCTTTCTACTAATCCTCTTATTTGATTAAAGATAAACCATGTGTGACTTACTTGGAAACAGGTATTGAGGAGTGGGCATCACAGTCAGATCTTGATTCACAATCCTCTTCAGTTGGTTCTGGTAAAGCTCTCTTCTTGTTCTTGTTGGCACTTGACACCAATTCCCTAACACATTCTTCTGTGCCAGGCAACCCAAGCCTGAGCTCTGTGTCTTTGAGGTTCAGATCATGATCATGATGTGCCACACACCCTTCCATTTCCCCAATTCCTTAAAAAAGAAAGAATCTTGAACTCCAAGAATCAAGATTTAAGAGAAAACCCAGAAAATTTCCAGAAAGAACAGATGGTTTAATATCTCGGCCAGTATAGGACAGATTGAGAATCCGAGAGATGGGAGAAGCCTCTGCTTTTCGAATGTCCAATAAAGTATGAGAATGAATGGATGATGCAAACCTGGAATGGGGGTGGGGGTATTATATGAAGGAGCACAAGCCAAGTGAAGAAACAAGAGGTGTCCTTTTTCTTAAAGACTATTGCACAAAATTGGGACAAAGTCAAGGAAAGGTGTCGGGGGAGTGAGCAGCAAGGTTGGGCAAGTGCTAGAGATGGTGAGGGACAAGAGTGGGACAAGGGTTGGCCGCCCAAATGGAAAAAGAATGGGTACTGAGTGGGGAAGATGTGTGTTTGGGAGCAAAATCCGGGAAAGATTGACGAAACACAGAGGAGAAGGAAAAGATGGGATCTTTTCACATTAATGCCAATGGGTTGTTCTATTAACCGAACTTATCATTGAAGAAGGAAGGGAGGAAGGAACCAGTCAACAAGGAAGAAGGCTCACAGGTCCGTCAAATCGTGGTTGGGCCTTGGTCGAGTCGGTCAAGAATAGTTAATTGTTTTTAAATTGTTTATTAATATATTTATCCATAGATAATACATTCGAGAAATACAATTATGAAAAGTTTTGTCATGTGTCATTTTCTAAGCAAATCTTTAATATTCTAGATTAGAAATTAGAATTGTTATTAGAATTTGTTATTACTCCGTACTACGTTAGGATGTATACGAAGCATTCTAGACTTTCATTTTGACAATTAGGAAGTATTCTACTATGTAGATTACAAATTAGAATTGTACTCAACTCAGGAATCTCCAACAAAAAAATCTCGATTTTTAAAATTGATTTAACTTTGTTATTTGTAATTTGATTTTTATAAAAACAATATCAAAATTCATGATTTTTTATTATCTTTTATATGACACCAATATTACATATGTAAAAATAAAAAAGAATTTTGAATATATCATAGATGGAGTTTTTTTAAAAAAAGAAATAGGTCCAAGCTTTAAAATTAACATCTCATGATTTTATAGAGTAATGTCATGTTACAATTAGGGGACAATTTATTTATTGACTGAAAGTGTCAATAAAAACATATTAAGTTCTAAAAAATTGTTTAAAAACAACCACTCAAATTGAATCAAATCAGAAAACATAAAGACACTAGTCAGCCAGTAGAAATTAGAATTGTACTCAACTCATGAATCTCCTAGCTACTAAAATAATCTTTTTTTAAACTGATATAACTTTTTGATTTGTAATTTGATTTTTATAAAAAGTATCAAAATTCATCAATTTTTATTATCTTTCATATGAAACCAATATTACATATGTAAAAATAAAGAGAATTTTGAATATACCAATGATTGAAGTTTTTAGGCTCATTTTTTAAAAATAGATCCAAGCTTTAAGATTAAGAGTAATTTCCTCCACCTACGGTGGTTTGCTTCGGGGAAAAAAATTAGGAGACAATTTATTTATTGACTGAAAGTGTCAACAAAGGCATATTAAAAAATAGAGTGGTTTTTTTGTTTGGGGCTCCCATGAAATGATTTTCAACATGAAGTCTGCTAGCTTCGCTTGTGAAAAACATCAGATTTTTGGAGAAAGTAAAAAACTTAGTTGGTGGTTGTAGTTAACTAGAGTTAATAGTTTTTTGAGATTTTTTTTAAATCAATCTTGATTTTGCAAAAAAAAATTATTTAGCATTATTTTGAGGGAAAAAACTCGATATTTTTAACCCGATACGCTAGCCATTCATTGATGGGATAAATGTCAGAGAACATTTACCGAGTTTTATTAGATAAAAAATAAATGTACAAGAGAAGAAGGGGACTAGGCCAAAACCTCTTCCAAGAAGGAATACTTTCTCGAAATACATGAGACAACATAGCAAATGAGAAAATAAAAGTATGGGAGACATAAAACCTGACCCATAAAATAAAAATGGAAAAATTCCAAAAAGAAAATTAAAGACTAAGAGAAAAACTCGCTAAAATGTTATGAGAAGCACTTTTAGTAAAAGAAGATTAAAAAGGATAAATTTTTCTTACATGGGTTAGCTTTAGTAAATTTAGGGGGCTAATAAAGCAATTCCCTAAGGTAAGAATATGTTTAATACCTCCAAGTGACCATTTTCATACCTATGGGTTAGTTTAATAACTCTAATCAATTCCCTTGAGTTAGAATAGAATTGCCTAACCTATAGGTATGGTAATCATTTTCTGATTTTTAGGTTGTACCCATACAACTTTCAAGATATCACTATATTTGTAAACTCAAATTTTCATAATTTATCATATGATTCATACTATATATAAGTTTATAATTGAGAGAGCAGGTTTACACGTAAAACTTTGTCGGTAACATATCAATTACATAGACATAGCTCATGCTCAATTATCTTAATTAGAAATATAGAATATACTGTCATATTCTAATTCATAGATATATGCATCCTTTATATCAAATACTCTTCATGTCCCTTAAAATTCTTTCCACTTACCTTTTTGGAACGTCCCAAAAAATTCATTACATTTTCCTTTTTGGAAAGCTTTGTGCGACTAACATTAATTTATCTTTTTCCTACTCAACCACAACTATACATTTTCACTTTATTCACTTTCTTAATTAAACTCCGATCCAAGTCAAATCGCGAATAATTTTATGAGACGGGTTGAATGTTTGAAATTTTGAAACAAATATTACTGACCCCCGAACATGGAATGCCCGAACATGTATTGCAACATAAACCTTTGATGTTGACTTTCTCAAAAGGCAACGTGCACACATTGTAGAATTATTGGATAATATCACATTCTAATAGATCTCAATTTCTCTTGAAGATATAACTGATGTATGTTAAAACAATAACATTATAACCTGAACTAATGTATTTAAAGTAATTCTTTCATTTATGTACCATTGCCATGAAAATTTGAAACCTAAAAGTCTTATAATGAACAAAAGTACACATAGAACATATCAAGGAAGATTATTAGATCAAACCAAGTCAGAATTCGACAGTTCCAAGGTACACATAGAACAAACATGTATTACACCAGTTCAGATCAAACCTGACTAGATTAGATCTAAACAGACCCAATCAAATAGACTGAACTCAAAGATTCAATCGAATTGACATGCGAAAACACTCTCTCTCAAACATAGATTAACACAGTTGTACTCAAATACAATTTAACTAGACTCCTACTAATAGAAAATTTTACTCAAACACAGAATTAACACAATTTCACTACTCCTCTTATACACAATTTCTCCAAATCCAAAGTTACATGTTTTTCATTATTCCATATGATTTCTTCACCCCACTTTTCAAACTCATCTCCCATTCCATCTTCAAACAATATCTTTCGTGTATCAACGCCTCTAAAAGAGAGCTACACAACTATTCTTAAAATCATTATTCTATGATTTTCACTGCTAAATTACTTATAATCAAGTTTTGATAAAAGAATTAAAATCATATGATTCACTAAGACCTTAAATACTCAAAACACTAACCGTAGTATATAAAAATCTCCATTTATCACTTTTCAGTGCCTCTTTGTATCCATTAAACTTCATGCATACCTTTTTTAGTAAGTTAAATATTTAAATATGTTAAAACAAAAGTTAGACTATTTAAATATTTTAATAAGTTAAACTAGATATAGTTCATCCGAAACTGTTCAATTCAGTTTAGAATCAAAACCTTAAAAATTGAAATAAGGATTAAACTAAATTAGTTCCATTCATAATCAAAAGTTGAATTGAAATGATTATACTAAATCTAAATAATGTTATTTAATTGGGATTTCAAAAATTATACTCCCTCCGATTCAAAAACAAGTTCCAGTTCGGTTTATGATGCTTGACTGACGATAAAGCAACTCGATCCCTGTTCACACTCGGATTATTTTTAGTAAATAAAATTTACATATTAAGAAACTACATTAAAACCGCTACAAAACCTGATCAAGAAAATTTCAATTTAATAAAAATTTGATATATATAATAAAAGATTAGGAATGACTTAAGTTGACCAATGAATAGTGAAGTAGAACTTGTTTTTGAATCGGAGGGAGTAATTATTTTACAAAGGCTAACCAATACTCCGTATTCTCTCAATATTATTTAGAATGTTTTTAATTGGATTACTTTCAGTCTCAGATCAGGTCAAACCAGAACATATATACCAGATCAAACTAGACTAGACTTTGAGAGTTGTAAAATACACATAGAACAGATATCTACTAAATTAGATCAGACCCGTTCGGATAGAACTATATTAGACAAGATTTAAACCAATCAGATGAGAAAATTACAGACCAATTAAAATCACTCCTACACGAGATTTATATGTGAAAACACATTTTTGTAATTTATTTATATAAAAATGGGTATAATTAATCAAGAAAATGGGTATACCAGTTTAAATCTCCGTGGCTTATTGTTTTTTTTTTCAAAACTAACTACTGACTATTATAATTTATTTATCTAAGAATGGGTGCAGTCAATTTTTTTTGAAGATATTAGTCCTTATTTTTCTTAACCGATAATTCAAATATATTTTGACAAAATAATTTTCTTGAGATATTAGCCCTTCTCAATTTTAAATCTTACGACAAAATACGTTGTTATAGTTTTGAAAAAAACAATAAGTTACAGAAGAAATCTAATGTTCAAATGTAGGCATTGAGCAATTTCTTTTTTGTTTACATAAGGATCGTTGAAAAGACGAAACTCATATGGATGCAACTGAGAGCTATAAAAAAATTTCTCTTTTAATTGGAAATAAAAACCGAGAACATATATAGATATATATAAGTTAAAAGTAAGACTTAATCAATAAATAAGAATTTGCATTATTAACCAATGTTATAATCAATTAAATAATTGACTTGCCATTAGTTACGTAGTATAATAAATCATACATATGCCAATGCGCACACTCACATATATGGTCATATATAGTAAGATCAAACAAATCATTTTATCCCGTGCACGGCACAGGTAAAAATACTAGTAGACTAATAAACTAATGTAAAATAAACTAATAACGTATGATACTCTCTTAAAACTTACTCATGTTTGACTTTTTTGGTCATTCCTATTAAATTATAATTAATTATATTTCTCTAACGAAAGTAATTATAGGGAAATTTTTTATTAATACGAAAACTAGATACAAACTTTCGTTGTTAAAATGTAAAGTAAATTGTCAGTCTTAAATTTCTCTGGTTGAATTGTGTAATAATGAAAATAAGTAATGTTGAAGTTACTTTTCTGATTGAATTGACTAAAGTTACGATAAATGTTTATTTTAACCACTTGGGCTGGACTTCTAGTGCGTACGCGTATAAGGTATTGTGTGTTGGGCTGAAGATCTGGTGTGTATGAGTATAAGATCTTGTGTGTTGGGATGGACCTTTGGTGCGTACGGGTGTAAAGTCTATCACCGTTGGGCTGACTGAGTCACCGTGATTTACAACTTCTCATATGTCATGTCGGGTCAGGGCGTGGGGGCTCTTGGAGCTGGAGATTCAACCTTCTTGGAGGAATAGATATCTATTAATTACCCTCACGAGTAGCTCAGTTGGTCGAGTATTGGGAAAGTTAGGTTGGATGAATGATCAAGGATCAAAATCCGCAATGACCATGTGGATGTCAGGTTCTGTGTGCTGGACTGGACCTCTGAAGCGCATGTGTATAAGGTCCACCATCGTTTGGCTGACTGAATCATTTCAATTTACAACTTCTCATATGCCCTATCAAATCGGGAGCTGGGCTTGAGGATTCAACCTTTTGAAGTAATAGATATCTTTTTAGCAATATATATCTATTAATCGGGTCCATTTATAGTTATTTGTGTATCATTTTTATTTAATCTCTTTTTGTTAAAAAAACTTATTTATTACTCTATTCGTTTTAACCAACTAAATGATTATATACTACATGTGTTATTAAATGATTGTATCATGTTGAATTTTACAATATTCACACACTCTACTTTGACTGCATTTTATTTATTAGTGTATTCGAAATTTAATTTTTGAAAAAATATTTGGCATTAAGTTATGTTCAAATTAAATTTTCAAAGTTTAAAATTTTAAAATACTTTACTTGTAGAGAATTACATATATTAATGGTCAAAATTGTATGTTGAATTGATAAATGTGAAAATAAAAGTGTTCTAATAAAAAAAGAACGGAGGAAGTATTTATCAAAAAAAATTATAAACAACCAGACTGTATTTCCATTTCATTTCATACTAATCAATAATCTTGATTATTTAATTTATTCATCAGTTATTGGTTATGTTTATATTTGATTCAAAAATTTCTATATATACTCATTATTAGTGTTTGTAAATCTGCTTATATATGGACAAACAATTGATACATTAATTAGAGAATTAAATTATTTGTACATGTTAGAGCATCTCCAATGCTTAGCTAATTATCTTCCTAGCTTGATTAGCCATGTAAGCATTTGCAGCAAAATTAAAATTTACTCCAATGGTTAGCTATGTCATCTTCCTCTTCATTTATTATTAATAATGTTATACCGTAGTATTTAATAATTTATTTGATCAAGCTAGTAGCTCATTTTAGCTAATTAGCTTTCTCAATTCCAAGCAAAAGGTTAAGCAATGCTCCAAGGATAAGCTATTAGCTTTAAAATTGCAAGCAAATCCTCAAGAGGAACCATTGGAGATGCTCTTAAATTAGTAAGTTGCGCTTATTGCAATATTATGTATCATTACTTCTTTTTGCAATTTTTTTGGATTATTCTTTATTTACTCCTTATCCCTAGTATTACATGTTTTTGTTAATTATATTTTAGCATTCTAAAGTTTAAAACTTTAAATAGATGATCAATTTAAATAACGTAGTCAAGTACCTTATGGTCTAATAGCATTACTGTGACACTTCCAAAGAGGATGTCACATGTTCAAATTGCATTCCAGTTCTAGGATGTTGACCTTAACAGAACAGATACTATAGATTAGAAATATTTGCTAAAAACATCCATTTAAGTAAAGTAATTGATTAATTAGTTATTTTGAAGTCTCATCGAATACAACTTCAATGATATTTTTTTGAAAATAACTTCAATGAACTCTTGTTTAATGAATACGGAGTATGAAAAAATTACTTTTCATATACGAAGTATATCAACTGTATATGTGGGCTTGTGTGTGTGTTACTAGGTAATTTTTATTCTATATATCCCACATTCTCACTCCTAATTTATGGATGCATCATGCATCATTGGTTGGACGTATATATTTTATTATAATTATAATCTAATTTAATTTGTTTAAGTTGCATTATTCTGAATTGATTTGAAAGTGAAATCAATTAAATTAAAAGTATATTACGTACTTCGTATATTATATACTTGAGAGTTGAGTCACATTTTGTCATTGCAAAGTTAATTATTTCACCAGGCAAACTTCAAACGTACTCTACAGTAGGCTGTGTAGGATTATCAATTTGATATGGACGCGGTTACGCGTTACGTATTCAAAACATTGTGAATCAAAAGTCAAAACGTAAACAGCGATTGTTTCATCATAATATCATATGATAAAAGCATAGAAACCATTACAAGTAAATTACTTCCTTTGTGATGAGGTTACAACTTATAATGATTGATTGAGGTAAACACCTAAACCTAAGGAGTATTGACTAGTTTTTTTTTTACTGGAAGGGACTATTGACTAGTTACAAAAGTTTATTAGTTTTATTGGGAATAGGAAATAAGAAATATAAAACGTGTTTAAAATCATTAATCTTTCTAATATACTCCCTCCGTAACATTCATATCTTCTCACTTTCCTTATTTGGACGTAACATTTATATCTTCCCATTTCTAAATCTTCCTATCATACCCTCAATAATTTAAAAAATAATACACTACTACATCTACCTTTTTTGGATTTATCCTTCATTACATCACATTATTTCACCATCTTCCCATCATACCCTCAATAATTCATACCTCATTTCACTATTCTTAATCTCACCCACTTTGGAAGTGGGAAGATATATGTGATACGGAGGGAGTACGTAGTATTAAAAAATAAATTATAGAAGAAAATATCAACTTGAGTATTAATATGTAGTACATGGAGTATTCTAATTAAATTTGATTTGTAATTAAATGTTGTTAAGTCCAATCATATAAACATTTTAATATTAGCCCATAAGTTCTAATATTTTACTCTCTCCGTTCTTTATTATTAGTCCTTCTTTCCTTTTTGGGACGTTTTTTTTATCTGTCCTTCTTTCCATTTAAGGAAAGTTTTTACTTTAAATATATCTTTATACCCCCACTTTTATTACCATTACCCCTTTCTC